GGAATTTACAGAACAATTTTAGGCATTCAGTTTAATAGCCTATTAAAATTCAGTATAATTAAGTGCAACTTTCAAGTGGTAAAGAAATTGCGTTGACATTTAGTAATTAATTTCTTTTTGCTAACATTTCCAGCACATTTTACCAGTGTCGCCATCTTTCGATTTTCAAAAAGCACCAAAAACTTGTAAAAAACGCGTTTTACCACACTAAAAGCACCAAATTTTTTTGAATCAAGGGATGCTTTTTTCATAACATAATACCGAAGTACTGCATATTAAAACTGGTATATCTCGAGAAAGAAAAATCGAATCGCAACAAACGAAAATGATGCCCTAATTAGAAATGAGCAACTAATTTGATGTTTTCATTATATAAACTCAAATATCGCTAAAAACCGTGTTTTTGGCACTTTGGGGTTGGGATATCCCAAAATTCTAGGGCTAGAGCAATTGTGAGGTCAGATTTGGATTCAGCACCAAGAAACGATGTATTTTACTCAGGTGGTAAAAAAACAAAATCTATACAAATAATTAGAAAAGAAAAAAAGAAATACTTAACTTACTTGCGTACTAGCATTTTCAGCACGAATAGAATTTAACAAGGTGGGTTTGCAACTTCAGCTTTTTATCAATCATGGTTGTATTTTAATCCATTTAAATTTGTAGATTCTTATAAATTCAGTGCTGCCACAGCTTTAAATATTTCAAATTATTTCAGGTTTTAACTATCTCGAAGTAATTTTAGTCCAGAAAAAAGCACTAAAAAAGGCACTACGCACTAAATAATTTTTTTTGGCGTTTTAATTTTCAAAAAGCACTAAATCTAGTGCTTAAAGCACCAAGTTGGCAACTATGCATTTTACCTATGTGTGTAGAAGAAAATGTAATAGTAGGCGTAGACCTTTTTGAATAGTAAATTTCGCGTTTTCACGACTGAGCGCTGATGCAATAAGTTCGATCGTGGTTGTCGTTCTCTCCAAGACGAATTTCGTGAGGGTCGTCCGAAACGGGTTAAACCGACCAGCATGTGTGTGATTTAGTCATCCTTGGGTAGCAGTAAAACTAGCATGTATTCCATTTTGCATGAAAATTTAGGTCTCAAGTAGATTCCTTTCCGCTGGGTACAAATTAGACAGTTGTTGAATTATAGGCACGTTTTTATTTATAAAAAAATGCATCCGGGGTGGTTAAAAACACTTGTACCGCAGTGTAACATGGCAACTCATGGATTTATGGTAGTGAGCCCGAAAAAACGGCAATCCTGTCCAGCTTACGACAGCTTAGGTTATAAACACCTTGAGGCTTACTTTGTTTACAATTATTTAATGGCATCACAAAGGAATATTTTAATTTGTTAGTCCATGTGAGCCTTGATAGCAGCCATATAATAAAGCCGGACCTAGCCTAACCTTATGCTTCTTAATAGGCGCATCAAATCACGACAATCGTTTCTCTTCTGTGCCAACTGACGCCAAATGGAACTACCAAGTCCTTCTCCACTTGGTCCATCGCAGTGGGGGCCTCCCTCTCCCTCTGCTACTTCCAGCAGATTTAGGCAGGGGCGTCTGTATCCATATGAATGATATGGCCAGGCTGTATGAGACGCAGCAAGGTCTCACGCAATTTCTGTCTTCTCCGTACATGAAAATTTTTGGATGGCGGTGATGTCAGCCTTTGTTTTCCCGAGGGTATCTTCCAGCCGGGAATACCCTCAAATCATCGCATAGGTGTTTTATACGTTTGTCGTTGTCGTCATCAGAAGAAGAGGATCTCATCCGAGACATGTTTTTCACTTTACATCGCACACGCACGTTGATTTTTGCGCTCGGAGCCTTCCTAATCTAACCTAATGTAACCAAAAATCATAGACTAAACATTGAGTGAGCTAGCGGCAACCATCAACAATTTGTGTGTTCGATCCCTGGTACGAGTTCGAGCAAAAAAAAAAAACTTTTATAACGGCGATCTCCTCTCCACAGGGAATGGAAAACCACCGAGTTTCTGTTTTAAAAATCTTTTGATAAAACCATTCGCAAAAGTGTAAGCGCCAACAATTCATTCATTTATTTCATGTCTGTATTTGAGTTCTTTTTTGTTTGATTCAGTAAATGAAAATGCGAGTAATTTGCGTTGCATTTGGAATTAATAATTTATTTATTCAATGAATTTCTAATTTTTCAGGAATCATTCATAGCTTAACATATTCTTGTATTTTTCATTAATTTATTTTTAGTTCTTAAACATTTTTAATTCACATAATGAGTACAATATTATTTCAATTTTCTTATTCCATCGCGCTCCTTCTCTTTTTAATAATTTATTTATGTATTTATTTGTTTATATGCTTGTAAATATGGGTGTAATTAATGTATTCATGTGTGTATGTATGTATGTATGTAAATGAGTGTATGTATCTTCTACATGATTTCTATGCACTTGTTCTTCAACTAGCTATAACTAAATACAAAAAGAATGAATGTGTTGGAGTGTTGAAATTTTCTATTTATTTATTTATTTATTTATAATTAGTTGTTATGTGTACAGCTGTATGTATATGAGTATAAGAGCACATGAGCAAATGTATGTATATATGTATGATGGCGTGTGGGGAGAAATGGGAGGTTAAAAATACAAACAATTTAAAATAATTTATTTTATACATAGAATACAATGCATTATTAACTACACATTTTCTGTTATTCGACGTCTATACAGATATACAAAGAAAAAAAGAAATTAAAAATATGTATTAGGTAAATAGGAAGAAACGAAATGAAAAACATGAATAGGTGCTGGATACAACTAATTTAAATTCTGCTTAGATAAATTAATTTGTATGTAATTATGTATATAATTTCTATATTTTTTAGTGATGCACAAACTTTAAAGTAAGTTTTTAAGTTACATAAACTTTCTGTAATATATTATATCAATTATTGTTTTCTTTTCCTAAAGTAAATTAGCTTACAAACACATACATACAAATTATTTACAAAATTACAACAATTTTTGGATTTAATTAGTTAAATAATTAATATAATAAACCTTATTAAGTTTGTTTGCATTTTATTATTATTTTTTTTTTGTTTACGAGTAAAAGCACTAAATCGTTTGTTATTAATATTTTTTTGTTTGTTTGTGGAGGTAATGAGTCGAAAACTAAGTACTAAGTCGAGAGAACGCCTGCTAAAAGTCAATGCTCGTAGAGGGGCTGATTGAGATGGCTCACGCTGCGTTGCATGGGAAGGCGAAAGGGCAAAAGCAGTGGCTTACTAAGTTCTATTTAAAAAAAAAGGGGAAAAATAAAATATATTAGGAACGAGAGGAGATAACGAAATAAATAGAGGGCTTTTCTAAAGCTTTTAAAGCTGAAAATTCAGGAAAAATTTTGATAAAATAAATTACATTGACCTTGGAAATGACCTTCGGAAAAAGGTTTTAAATTTTTTTTTCCTTTTTGACCTGAAATCAGCTCGCAATGACTTTCTAAAAAATTTTGAACACGTCCTTTTGCTGTTCTTGCGCAAGGATGCAATTAAATATTTGTTTAAAGTTGATGGCATACTATTTTAGGTAAGAAAGGCCAAAATCAAAAATTTTACTTTGGAAGCGCATTTTAGAATCTGATTTAATAAAAATTACCTTGACTTCAAAACAATAAAAAAATAAAATAAAATAAAAATAAAATAAATTTTTTGAAATATTTACTTTTTTGACCTAAAAGAGCAACATGCAATGAACTTGAAAACAATTTTAAATGTGTTTTTCGGTTCTTGTGACCTTGGAAATGCACACGAACAGCAAAAATATGTTTTTAAAAAGTCCATGTATACTGGCTTCAGGTAAAAAAAAAAGAAAATTTAAAACCTTCTATTTTTAAAGGCCATTTTAAAGATCAACGACTCTATTTTTCCTGAATTCTCCATTTTCTAAGCTTTAAAATGCATTTATTTCGCAATCTACTCTAGTTCTCCAGATATCTGATTTTCTCACCTGGAGAGGCTTTGGTGAGCGCGAAGACTATTTTTATTTATTGATGGTTTTTGTTATTTTTTTTCTATTTATATGTGTGTGGCTTATGTACAATAGCTTAGCAGCTATTTGCGTTAAAGAGGGGTCTAGCAGGCACTATTTGGTTTTGTATTAAATATTTGTAGAGATTTTCTTTTTTTAGTTTGTATTCTTTGATTAGTACTTGGATATCTGTTTTCACTATTCACACCAAAGTTTTAATTGATTTTTTTTTGTATTTCACATAAGTGTAGCAACATATAAGGCCGAGAGTTGAATTTTACGTATTCTTAGACATATTCCATACTTTTTTTAATTTTTAAGCAATAAAGAGTTATTTTTCTATTTCAGTTAAATAAATTTTGAGGAAATGCTAATTCTTACAAAAACTGATTTTTGCTACTTTTCAATTTTATTTGAAGAGAATGTTGAAATTTTTAACTTCAAAGGTATTAAGTTAAACATCTGTTAGTTAAGAAATTTTTTGTTGAAAAATAACAAAAGGTTTTAAATTAGAGTTTTTCAATTCATGGCTTCAAATTAAAAAAAAAAAATAAAAACGCTCCAATTGTTTTAATTTGTTATGCTCCAGATTTAAGTTAAAAGTTTGCTTAAAGTATTTTTGTTGATATTATTTAAATAAAGCTTCAAAAAACCTAAAAAATATAAAGCTCATTGCATTACCTGTTTATTGCAACTGAGAGCTGTCTCTGCTATCTCGTTCACGCCTAATTAGCACAGTTAAAGATTGCCTTTTTAAGTAAGAACTAAGGACTTGAGATTGTTTGAGTGCATTGCTTAACAGTTATTCGTTTTAACTCGCCTTACTACGCCTAAAGCAATTAGCCTACTTTTACCGCAATAAAAAACAAGTAGTTCATCTGCAGCTCGCAAAAATACACTAAGCTCGCTTCGAACGCCTTCTGTGACAGGCCCGCCCCCCTACTCAAACAAGTGAACAGCGCCCAACGACTATCGTTTGCACTATCCTTTTACCCGCACCCACTCTTGACCACCTCACCAATTTCAATAGGCAGTCGCCGCACCCGGATGCATCAGATGGTGATGATGATGATGATGACCGAAATGATTCAACGGATTCATTGCGTCAGCGGCTGCCGGCGGCGTTGCTGTGTGATACCAATCGCTAGGCGGATGGTGTTGCGCCGCCGGATGATAGAGCAGATGATGGTTGTGATGCCCGGTGACAAGCATCGAAGCGGCCGCAGCATTGCTGCTGCTTGGCGAACCCGCTTGCTGATGATGATGATGCGTACCGGCGGCCGTCAAGGATGGTGGTGGGCCGAGTGGTGGTGCCAAATAGGCTGCCGCCGATGAGGCCATCAATTGAAGTGCTGGTGATTTGGTCGAATGGTTGTTGTTGTTGCTCGCGCTACTGTTACCGCCGCCACCGCTGCCCGAGCCATGATGCGCATGTGAGTGATGTAAATGTGAACTGCTGGTGGAGCTGCTGCCGCCGCTAGATGCACCCAAATGTATGACGCCATGCATGCCGCCGATGCTGTGATTGCTCGGTTCCGATTTGATGGAATGCGGAGAGGATTTATTACCGATGCCGCTGTGGTTGTCGCCAGTTAGCCGCGCTGATGGTGGCGTTTGTGCGCCACCGGTCACAATGCTCGAGGAGGAGGACTCATCGCCGTCGCTATCGTAGCCGTGTGAGGGAGATTTCTCATCGATATTGCCATGCACCTGGAATAAGGGGGGAAGAGAAGAGTGTGTGAGCATACGTAGGGGCATTTAAATTGATTTTCAATTCAAGTT